ACCCCCACACCATTCAGAGCTTATGCTCGCCGACGCCCGCCAAACCGCAGACGAAGCCCCGAACATGTTCGACGAAATCTGCAGCTTTTTCAGGCTTGAAAAGCTCGACGGCGTGGTGTCCCTCTTCCTCCAGTAACTCCACAACCTTCACCCCTCTCTTCTTCAACATCCGAGCAAGCTGCCGCTGCCGATCGATGAGCGGATCCCCCACATACCCCCGAATCAAGCACCGAGGCAATCTCTCCACCCCCTCCTCCTCCTTCGCCGTCGGATTGCAGAATATATGTTCCCTGTTTGCTCCCTCCGGCAGCGACAGCTGCCACATCAGATCGTTCACCGGAAGCGGGATGATCTTGTCCTTCGCCATCCTCTCCTCCGATTCTGTCCGCTTCTCCCCGCCGAAATACGGCTGGTTCAGCATCAATCCTTTCAGCCCCAGTGGTTCAAGATCGAACTTTGCTGCGTGGAGCGCAGCGCGGTAGGCGATGTTTCCGCCGGAGCTGCTGCCCATGAGGAAACAGCGGGAATAGTCCGCGTGAGCGCGAAGCCAGGGGTCAGCGGCGGAGGGGTTTAGGGCTTGTTCGCGGAGCCAGAGGAGGGCGTCATTGGCGTCGTGGTAGGCGGCGGGGAGGCGGTGCTCAGGGGCGAGGCGGTATTCGACGGCAAGGACGAGGGCGGGGAGGGAGGCGGAGAGGCTTGAGCAGGAGGCGTGGAAGGGGGCGGAGGCAGCGCTGAAGAGGATGAAGCCGCCTCCGTGGAAGTAGAAGATGATGGGGAGGCTGTTCGGGGCCGGAAGAGGGGAGTTGGGCAGGAAGAGACGGATCCAGGTGTGGTGGGTGGGGTTGAGAGGTAGGTCTTTGGATAGGGCGGGGAGGGAGGGATCCGCCTAGCGGCGGCGGCGGCGGGGCGGTGGGAATTGGGCGTGGCGGGTGAGGGAGCCGTCGGGGTTTAGAGAGATGTTGAGGAAGGAGAAGGGATCCATATGGGAATGATGGAAATTGGTGAAATAAGGGAAGGCGGGACAATGAGATGATGCAAGAGGGAGGAATGAATGCGTATTATTACTTGTTAGATTATCTGTGGATCTGAAGCGGGATGGTGAAGCGTTTCTATCTCCATTCTCTCACTGATTTTTCTCGCTTTAAGAATATCACGAAAAGAAGGGATCGCAGCAGTTAAAGCTTCACCTAATGCTTCGGTGCGCATTAAACTATATATTATGGGCCTGAAAAAAAAATTTAGCTTTTGATAAATTTTTATATAAAATTTTATCATAATATAAAATAACTAATTAATTTTTTAAAAAATTAGTCATATATTTTATATTTAAACCTTCTTTAAAACAAATTTTCACAAATTTCACAATTTTGTCGCATCATAAATTATAACTTATTTGACTAATGCTTCCAAATCAAAATCATTAAATATAATGGAATGATCAGCTCGAGCTTTTTTCAATGTCGGCTCCTCTCGGGTAGTGAGGAGAGCCTGAGAGGATGTTAGAGGTCCTCCAACAATAGTTTCAATTTCTCTATTCATTTGACAATTATTTTACTATTGTTGTTATTGTTCTTGATCTTGCCCCCTAACAGGATTAGTTTTATTTCAAGTAGGTGGATTTTGAGTTAATTGACGAAGATATCCTTGTCGAATTAACCTTTCAATTTATTCTATTAAGTGTTTATAAGCTTCAATAGTAAGCCCCCGACTTTGATGAAAGTGACAATAATAATCCTGGTTGCCAGTATTTGACTTCAGCAGATGGGGCTATTTAAGGTTCTCTTCATTCTGTATAACTATGAATATATTAACCCGAGTTGTATTCATTGATGGAGTATATTCTTTAAATTCACGATTTTGCTGAGGGGTTGAGGTGGAAGGTCTTGATTTTTTTTTAAGTTTTTGGGCCCCACCCTCATATTCATTCATTCTTTTATTAGAAGGCTATTCAAACTATTTTTTATGAGCATTAATAGGTTCATCAACAGTGATTTGTGCTTCAACTCTGCAAATGAGGTCAGCATAATAATGAATGGTAACTCACATTAGCACGAGTAAAATGATCAAGGGCGTAACCCTTTAAGAAAACACCTCGCAATAGCTCAAAACCAACCCCCCTGCCCTGTAAAGAAATGGGGCCCTATTTATAATTTTTTTAGAGTGGCATAGTGTGTATATATGGAGGAGACCAAGAGTATTTTGGGAGAGCACAATCAGATGGCTCTTAGTGATTATCTTGATCATGGATCAATTATGAAACATTTTTGTGTATTAATGATGTCAAATTTTGATGATCTTAGGCTCGTTGGATTTGTCTCGTCGATCTGCTCAATTTGACTATAAGCATGTCCTATTTAGATGTCATTTGGTCATGAAATTAATGCTTTGAAGCTTCAAAGTATTGTTATATCCCTTGATTTAGGCTCATTTGGACTCAAATCGAGCTGAATTAGGTGTCGCTGGTTCATCTCCTTGAGATGCTCGATCAATTTGACTATAAGTTTGCAGAAATAGGAGTTAAAATGGTCCCTAAATTAATTTTTTAGAGCCTCTAATTCATATTTGCATCGAGATTCGTTCCCAATCAAGGTGAATTTTTTATGACATTTCAAATATGTTACTTAATAGCATAGACTTTTAATTATGAGGTGGTAAATGTGAAATCTTGCAAAATATATATTAATCTAAAAAAATTGTTAAATATGATATCCCAGGGTTTAATAACCATTGAATTTATATTGAGATTAGTACCACATATGATAACCAGTGATGACATTAATCTCGATCTAAATCTCATAGTTGTTATGCTATCCCGATGAAAATCAAATTAGGGCTTACTCAAGCATGCATCTTGATAATAAAAATCCAATGGGCACAACATCACTTAATTCTATCACCATTAAGCCACTTAAATATGAGAAGAATGATAAATAATCAAGGGAATCAATACAAATTATCCAATTGTATATTCTATATATTTATGAGGCATTTTTTTTGTAAAAAAATCTATAAATAGACATTCACCCACTACATGAGGGTGGATCAAAAATTTGCTTTAAATTTAAGAGAGATTAGAGATTTGAAGAATTTTAGAGTTCCACTTATAGGTGAGAAAAACTGCATATTACAGGCGGATTTTCAGCAGCCAATTTTCCTGTTGATTTTTGACGAATTGCGATGAAATGTTTTCGACTGATTTCTAGTAGATTCCTATTATGATCCCTTGACTTATGGTCCTTTTACTTGTGTTGTCTGGTTACACTGATTCACATTGCCTATGTTTAACTATAATCACTAATAATGTCAACCCACATCATCACTTATAAGATAGAAGCATGTCATCGACACCTATTCAAACACTCAATTTTAGCATAAGTATTTATATTAGATTTATTAGTCTCTGATCCCTTTTCCTTAAAGGTATTTAATCAAACAAAGAAGTAAAGTATTTTTTAAACATTACTCCTTAAAAGTATGTGATATGTTTTTTCTCCTTTTAGGAGTTTTCAATATAAAAGCTCTTGTATCTTATGCAACTATTTTTTTTTATGCGCATATGTGTTGGATCTTTATACAATACTAAAATAAGAAACTCTCTTATTCTACTTCCATGGATTTTTTGACATGAATAAATCACATAAACAGTTTTGCATTTAATATCAAGAAATGATATGATTGCATCATTATTCCTTGCATGTAAATTATTTTTGAGTAGTAAACGTATCTATTATTGACCTTCTTATGGTGCCCAAAAATCAGAACGAAGGCAACAAAACAGGACCTTAGAGAAGCACAAAATTTAAGAGATGGTTGATACATTATTTTAGGGGCGATTGGAATAAATACATTATTATTTTATATTTTGATGTGATCATCTCACGTGAGCATAAGGCTTCGTTTGGGACGGTTTTTTTATTGCTTTATAAACCGAAGTTTTAGTACAAAAATAAAAAAATATGTACTAAAACTCCGTTTTAGAAAGCAATAAATAAGCCGTCCCAAACAAACCCTAAGGCTGAGCCATATGTATGATATTGTCTCTTAGGCTATCATATTAATATACGTGGATACTAGACGATATCCGGAGACCAACTAGGATGCCTACGTCATTTTTTTTTGTTCGGTACTGGGTGACGTGACGTGTTCTGGTTGGTATTTAGACCGTCTGGTATCCGCACAAAGATAAGGGGAAAGGGGCATAAAAAAACTCTAAAATGACTTGATATTAAATACATAAACTATGATAGATTTAACTATATGAATATGTTATTAAATTTAGGATTTTTTAATGTTTTCTTCATCTCACCAAAATCATTATAAAAATACTTAATTAATGTGTTAAATGAAAAGTTAAATCATCACTACATAGATGAAATATTATCATTTCATGATTCTTATTTTTATAGATTCATAATGGTGATATAATTTTAAATCGACGAAATTAGCTGAACAAGCTCTACAGAGAATAATACCGCGGCTTGGGCTAGGGCTTCGGGTGGTCGCGACGACGGCTTGGGCTTCGGGGGGTCGCGACGACGCGCGACGGGCTTCGTTCGGAACACATCAAATATATAGTAAATAAATAATTTTTAAAAAATAATATATTTATCATGTATTTACTATATACTCCCATAAATTCAGATAAATCGGACTCCTCGTGTAATAATTTCTTGCGAAAATGAAAGATGAAGATTGAGGTTGGCAAACTGGAGAAATTATTTTGTGCGGTCGCCGAACGGTGTCTAGAGGAGATTAGGAAGTGTCACGTCATTTTTTTCTGTTTATTGTATGATGTGGCGCATTATGATTCGTCTCTAAACGGCGCATTATGATTCGCCTCTAGACCATCCAGTGACAGCAAAGAGTAATTTCTCGTCAAAATGTCCGCTTTCTAATCCATCAATTAATACACAAATCACTGTAATTTGCTTTAAAGTCGAGTTTTAGCGATTATTTAAAACAGATAAAGTATTTGATTAATATTCCTTTAGGCTTTAGAAACTAAAACTTTATCATTTGTTAGAACTTGGGGCCCGCAAACAGCTGGAAACAGCAGGGATATTTTATCTTAACTATCAGGAATAATAAATCCCAAACAACTTATGATTATGAAGATATAAACTTCTCTTTTAATTATTAGGTCATAGACTTTTCACAAACAACAAAGATTTAAGGAGTAGAAAATTTAAGTGGATATTTAGTTAAGTATATATATAATAATTAAATTATATTTATTTCAAAATTTCAAAAATTATTTACAGTTGAATGCAAATCTAATGCATTGAAGTAATTTTTTCTCTCTTCGCTGCGATGCATTTTGGATACATTTGAAATTATTATTATTATTATTATTATTATTTTGGAAAACCTAAAAATTATTAAAATGTATAAAATATCGTTGTTTCACACTGGTGCCTCGCCTATCAAAATTAGGGGTGTCAATTTCGAGTCACGGGAAGGGTTCGGGTCTAACCCGAAACTGACCCGGCACTATTCGGGTCAACTCGAACCCGACCCGTTTATACAAACGGGTCGGTTTTCCGGACCCGAACCCGACCTGCTTTGGGTTCGGGTCAACCCGGCTCGACCCGAATGACACGGGTCGGACAAAAAACAACTAGTTTTTGGGTCCAAATTAAAATTGGGTCAAACTCCGCTTTTCGGATCAATCTCGGGTTCCCAGGTCATAAATGGGTTTTCGGATAAAAAACGGGTCATTTTCAAGTCAATTTCAGCTCAATGTGTCAACCCGAACCCGACTCGTTTAGGGTTCGGGTTGGGTCAACCCAAATCCAAAATTTTTGTATCGAGTTCGGCTCGGGTTTTCGGGTCGGATCCAATATTAACACCCCTAATCAAAACCAACCCAAATAAAGCAGCATTTGCTTTTCCACTTTCATTATTAGTTATGACTTGGCCGTTACTATTTTGAAGCAATATTTAACATTAGAATTAGCAATCAAATAAGTTCACAACAAGAAATAATTTACAAAGGCTTTGTTAGTGACGGTTTTTTTTTCTGCTTTTTATAGCAATAAAAAAACAGTCACAAATGAAACCAAAATCTTGAAAGCTTATTCCCTCTAATTTGCTCTAGTGAAACATAGAGCTTGAGAACTACCATGGAGTTAACAACATAGGAATTTATTAAAGTTTTCGTTAGAGGCTGCTTTCTTAATGCTTCTTAAAATAGCTTTTCAGTAAAAAATTAAAATACTAAACCAAAAATAATAATAAAACTTTCCCAAAATCAAAGAAGCACTAAGTAGAGAAGTTCTAAAATAATAAAAAAGAAAATAGAGAAGTTCTAAAGTCTTATGCTTTGATGATAGAAGCTGATATCTCTATGAGAATGTTGCAAGCGTCATTCGAAATCATCAACAACAACTCAATTGACGAATTATAAATTTAAATTTAATATATTAAATGATTGTTATATTTCTATTATTAAGTTAAGTCTTCTAGAGAATGTGAGGCCAGCAAATTCGATGTTTCATTCAAAAAGATAGTAAAGAAGCTTAACCTTATAATTTAACAAAAATAATTATTGTGAATATTTGTTATTCTACAGATATCATATTATTATATTCAGTGTAAAATTAAAATAACTAGATCGGCAACACAATCATTAATACAGGATTCTACAGCCACAAAATAGTTATTTTGCAATTGTTCAGACAATCTCAAATGACTAGTATTCCTATGATGATTGTGTAGATCTGAATTCCAATATCACCTCTTCCAAAATTAAATCAAATTCTTCACTAAAGAAAATGAAAAGTTGAGAGAAGGGAATAAGAGAGAGAAGCAGAATCAAATCTTTCTTGATTCTTTAATGTCAGATGTACATCTTATTTATAGGTTTCTTAAACTAATTTATGTGGATGTTATTTGTTCTTGACATTTACAAATGTGTGGTTGTGATTGTACACGTAAGGATGGCTGTGATTACAAGTGGATGACTGTGACCTATACAAGTGGATGGCTGGGATCAATCTTGTCATGTGATCAGTTTATATTGCGTCTGGATTCGTCTATCCTTTTCATTCCCCCTCAAGCCTATGGTCTCTTGCAAACGCTTAGCTTGGTGCGAAGGAACTGAAAGTGCAAAGTTGAGAGCAGCTTCGTGAGAATATCTGTTGTTTGTTCTTGAGTGCTGATCGGCTGAACTTGTATGATGTTCGAATGTATTTGATACCGAATAAAGTGGTGATCAATCTTGATGTGCTTCGTCCTAGCATGAAAAACGGGGTTGTTGGCTAGCGCTATGGTAGAAATGTTATCATAATGAAGTGTCGTTGGATGTGTTAGAGTTATGTTGAAATCTTGTAGCAGCTGGCATAGCCAAATGATACTTGTGATGGTCGTAGCTAAATCCCTATATTCTGTCTCTTTGGAGGATCTTTCCACGTTATGTTGCTTCTTAACACTCCATGAAATAAGTGTGTTACCTATGAATGAATAGTATCCGGTTGTGGACTTTCTTGTCTCTGTGATGTTTGCCTAGTCTACGTCGGAATATGATTGAAGGCATAGTTGTCCCAAGAAAATGGGGATGCCATAGTCAATCGTTCCTCTTATGTACTTAAGTAATCTTTTGAGGATACATGCATGATATGATTTTTCATGAATGTGTTGACAAAGTTGATTGACATGGTATGCAATGTATGGTCTGGTTATTGTGAGGTATTATAGTGATCCAATGAGTTGTCGGTATGTGTAAGGGTCTGTGAGAATGGGATATCTAGGTTTATATTTTATGGTGGTTTGGTGCATGAAGGGTTGGAGAGTGGTTTGCAAAGATTAAGCCCTAATGTGGTAAGGATAGAAGAAGCATATTGTGTTTGTGATAAAAAACATTGAGTTGTTGTGTTTAGTGATGTTTATGCCAAGAAAATTATTAGCTGTATTGAGATGTTTCATCAAAAATTTATTATGCAGTTGCAATATGATGTGTGAGATGAGAGAGTTGTTGTTACCTGTCATCAAGATGTCTTCTATGTATGCAAGTAAATAAACCTGAGAGTCTTCTTAAGATAGTGTAAGTACTAAGTAGTGAAGGGTTAGCTTTGCTCGGTTTGAATTCAATTTGTTGAAGAAATGTTAAAAAAGTCGTGAACCATTTTCTGAATGCTTGCTTAAGACCATAAATGGCCTTGTGAAGTAGGCAGACATATTCTGGGTGTTGTTTATCTTCATATCCTTGTGGTTGTTTCATATAAATTATATCAGTCAATTTCCCATATAAAAAAACATTGGCAACATCTAGTTGATGAATTTCTCAGTTTTTGTTTATTACAATTGTGAGTAATATAAAATGGTAGGAAACTTAGCTACTGGGCTGAATGTTTCCAAGTAGTTGATTCCATATTGTTGCTTGTGGCCTTGAGCTAAATTGAGCTTTGTATCTTGCAATTGATCCATCTAAGTGTAATTTGGTTTTGTATGTCCATCTGCATCCAAGAATGGAAGTATTGTTGGGAGGTGGAATTAGTGTCCATGTTTCCTGTTTCTGTAAAGCATGAAATTTTTTGTTCATGGCTTGTCTCCAATGATGGTGTTTTGATGCCTCTTAATATGTATGAGGTTCATGACTTTGAGTCTCTGGAAGTTGAGAATTTTGGTGTAAAAGGTTAAGGATGACCTTTAATTTGAGAGATCTCATTTTGAGTCTTGTTATCATTGGGTGGGTTGGTACAAGTTGTATGGCAGGTGAGTGGTTTGAATGTGTGGGTTGTTATGGTGTGTTGTTATCCACTGTAATGATGGTATTGGGAGTCATATTTTATTGTGGGTCTGAACTTTGGTTATTGTTTATAGAGGTTAATTGAGTAGTGAGTGTAAGAAGGAGAGGGTTGTCTATTATAATTGTTGGTAATAGTGGAGTTGGTTTGGTTTGGGTAAATGGGAATGTTGTTTCGTGGAAAACCACATGTCTGGAAATGATTATTTGGTTTGTATTTGGGTTAAGACATTTGTATCCTTTATAAGAGGCGGAATATCCCAAAAAAATGGATGGGTTAGCACTTGGAGCTAGTTTGTGTCTGTTTTGTAGAGGTATCCTTGGGAAACAAGCGCAACCAAAGGTTTTTATGTTGTAGTAGTCGGGTTTCTTTTTGTATAATGTATGTAGTGGAGATTTGTTTTGGTTTGTATGTGTTGGGAGTCTGTTGATAAGGTAAGATGTGTGAGACCTCGTTCCCTTACTGTTCCTCTCTGACTTGGATTTTCCTCCCAGGATCGTCCGGGACGATATTGAGATCGTCCAGGACGATCTGTACTGTTCAAAATACCGTCCTGAAAATAGTTCTGGAAACCGTCCAGGACGATCGATTTTGGTCTGATCGTCCCGGGACGATTTTGCGAACGGCCGGGCCGATCAGCTTTATGATTTAAGGAAATCAGCTCGTTTTGAGGAGAGAGAAAATCATTTTTAAAATATCAGATATTTTGAAGAGAGAGAAAGAGAGGAAAAGCAAAGGAAGAAGTTCGATTTTGGAGGCCGCGGAGCGCTTTTCGTCCGACGCCGCTGTTGGGAAAAGTGAAGATCTCATTGTAAGGACTCTGAATCCTATTTTTGTTTTCAGAGATATTGAGTATTGACCGAGTTGTGCACTGTTTTGTGTTTTCGTAGTCGAACTTTTGACCCAGTTTTGTATTGACACAACTTTCACCGCACAACTTTTGGTATGTTATAGATATGACTATTGTACACGATTTGAGTATTTCCTACGACGATTTTACCGGTCGGAATTGATTCTACGCGATTTTAATCGAATAGAAAAATATCAGGACTTGATTTGATTTGGATTCTATAGAATAATAGTCTTGTATTGATGTCGTGAATATTCTACTGTAATTTGGAGAAATTTGGAATTTGTGCTTTTTGCAGGATTTTTGTGTAAATTTGATAGACTGCCGTTACGCTGCCCGATTTTCGTAGATTTTCTGATTTGCTTGGAATTGATAGATTAGATTGATATGCTTATGATTATTGATATGATTGTTATAGATTGCTTTAATATTGATTATTGAACTGATTATTGATTGATTATTGATACTGGAACACACGTATAACCTGGTTGAACATTGGTTGAAGATAGAATTGACCTGTACAGGATGGTGGGCCGACGGGCTTTCCTTTAAACCATTGATCATTGATATAACGATTGGGAGTCATAAGGAGTTTATAGAAATGCCGACGGGCGAAAAGAGTGACGACTCTTATTGATAGAACCAATGTACGAATCTACAACAGCAATATGGATTCTACAACAACAACATGCATACGGAAGTCCATAGTCAAATAAAATCAGTCAAATGCAGGCGGCAGGCGAATCGATAAATCCAACTCAATAAATCCATGTCAATCTCGAAGAAAGACGTACAACAATAGAAATTAATCAATCCGTCAAAATGACAATCGCCATCGAAATCAACAATGCGGTAATAATACGATATCTATCTAGTTCAATAAATCAAAAACGAAGGAAAACATTACGATAAATCTCATCTATTCTACAGTAATCCATGCAGTCAATCAATATACCGGTAGAAACGTAGACAAACAGTGAATCTATACTGCAAGAATCAATAAATTCCATGGCAGTAGTAATAATGATAATCAATAGTGCAGAAACAATGAATTCTATACTATTCATGTCCATGTATCAATAGCAATATCTATATCCATCCATTTCTATACAGCTCAATGTCGATGCAACAGCAATCAAATCGGATGAAATCAATGAAATCGTACGATCTAGTAAATCCAATCAAAGTCGATAAAGCAGGAATCTATAAAAACAATGAATCCATAAATCAATAATACGTAGAACTATACGTCATAATTCCTCTAAATATATCTAGGAACGGTAGCTAGCTTGGACAATCGTTTCACATATCAAAACTGGCGCCTTATGTTATGTGCTGAGTTTCTATCCGAATCCATATTAGGAGGTGGTTCTTTACGAATCTATTAATCTACTATCGTCTTGTACCTTTAGATTTTTGTATTGATGTCAAAGCATAGATGTTCACTACCCGCATAGGCGCACGTGGCATGATCCGAGTTGAACCAGGTCAGCGACATGGTCAAGACCTCGCAAGAGTCTTAATGGGTGCTCTTCAATGTCTTGGACACCACCATTTCAGGCATGGAAGCCTCTTAGTGATTTTCGTGACAACGAAATGCTGACATCCAACCATACATTGTTCATTCTCTGCTCGCCGACATCACTTAGACTCTCTCACGACATCTCTAAGTGCATTCTCTGAGTACGGATTAGTTCATAGTTATACTGCTCTTACTTATAAATGCAATCTCATTTGTCAGACAGTAGAGCTTTATACCGTATCCTTAATCGGATCGAGTCTCTTCCTCACGGCGTCCTTTCTTACTGAGCGCCTGCTGATGTCTACAATTAAGATCAACTGTCAGAAATACCTGGCCATAAGTTCTATGTGAACGGTCCCGTGTCCTTCGAGAATACTATTCGCCCACCGATACCAATAGAATACTTGTCACCACTCCCACTCCAGAGAGACGAGCTTTCCCTATTCCGTTTATGTCGCGAGGGTGGGAGAAAGGGAACAACCAGTGACTATGGACGGCAGTCTGTTCTGCTTGACGTGAATCAAAGTGGAGTAGTATGCGGCTTAATCAGCCCGCAAAGCCGGCATAAGCGCCGGGTGTGCCTGCGACAGCGTCTCATCCCCGCGAGAGTGAGTCAATTACAGAGCGCGACCGTATGCGACTCGATCCAATCTGCCACTTTCATCACTACAACGGCTTAACCAAATAACACCATCGACTCACAACCGTTTTAATCGTCGGCTATGTCGCAGGCGCGAGACGCTCACCAATCGTTTTGTCCTACGGATAGTGCGGCCCATGCGCACCCTCGCATTCGAACGGCCTAAGTCCTTGCGACGGACGTGCGACTCCTGCTTCTTTTTTCGGTACGCGGCCCCAACAGGTGTCTCTGGCGACAGCACTATGAATCGAGACTAAGATTTCTCCTCTCCATCTTATGACCTTATAGATACATAAATTAGACTCCTTTTCCTTGTGTGTACTCGCGGGATCGGTATTCCCTTAGATTAGGTCCGTCCCACTCTTATATGTTAGGGTCCTCTTCTTAGTTAGGGTTCCTTTACCCTCCTTAGCTAGGGATTTTTCCTTCCCTAACTCGACTTCTTTTCCAGCCTAGCAGGCTTAATTCCGTCCTTTAATCTAATTCTATCTATCTCACGTCGAGAATTCTTACGTCGTCTCGTTCTTTCTGATTACATTGTACAGTCTTACTGAACCTTTTCACTTCTTTCTTCAGCAGTGCCATGGCTTCACTTCAGCTCCATTCCAGTTACCTTTTGTTTTGGTTCGGACGCAACGGTAACTCTCCATGAGTCCCTGACTCTGCGAGTTCGCACGGCCAGTGGGTTAGGAGATCAAGCTTTGGTTCCTTCACTGACTCGCTTCGTCACCCTGTGGCGGCCGCCACGGAGACGGAGCCTGCCTCTTCGATCGGAGGCGGAGAGGTCGACGCCTGCGTCTCCATCGCAACCTACTCCCACCTTTAGAGGACGAGCGTCATCCGCCGCGAGCCCATCACCCATAGTCTATCCGGCGTCCTGGATCTGCCTACGGCGTTCATGATCTGCCGGCGTCCATTCCGGCTTCCCAGCCCCGAATCAGTGCTGGTATGCCCGCCCAATGAGGACGAACCCTATACTCTGTCCAATCCAGCGCTAATTTCACCTCACCCACACCGACCCCACAGCTTCTCTCGAAGGTTCCCTCGCAACAGTTGTCGATGCACAATCATCACGTCGCGCTAATTCTGCCTACGTCTCTCTTGTTATCCGACACTTTACACAAAATCTCAGACCGTCAGCAGTACAGGACCCGCGCAAAGTCATACCTCGGAAACGGACATTCAAGCTCAGTAGCACCGCGCTGTAGGAATAGGTCAAACACCACCACTGCTAGGTGCGCGACGGTTAGAATTCGATGCCGCGTCATTCCCAAACACCAAACGAGGAGCCTCACCGTAGAAGCGAATCTCACCAGTGCCTCCCGAATACTCTACGCTTTAAGCTTCCGCTACATCGGTACCAGGTTGCCAACAGCCCGCGTCCCACCTCTACGACGAGAGTGACAGCGCTGCTACTTCATCTTGATCTGATCTATTTCCTCTCTAGATCGGTCAATGGCAAGAAAGTATACCAGGACCGGAAGAACCCCACCGCCCGTCTCCCTCCACGGGTCCATCTATTAAACGGTCTATATCCGCTTCTGTCGTGTTCCAGGGACTACCGCGCCTCTCTACTCCCATTAGGAAGAGGGGTGCCCACACGACAGTCGCATATCCGCGTCACTTCCCACTCCCTAGCGGTCTTAAAGCCATTCGCCTATATTCATCCTTCGCTTCGCACCCGAGGATCTAATGCACCTTTCTCAACCCCGAGGTTGTTGGGGACCCGTCCTCGGCCATCCATCAGCGCCAAACACTAAGCCGTCCTCCTCTAAAAACGTTACACAGGACACCACCATTGACACTGTCCGCGCTAGTCTTCACTTCTTGATATCCCAGATTTTGCCGTATTCCAAGAGCATAGACTACCTACATCAAGATTCCCCACAACCGTGACGCCACAGTGGCTTCGCTTGATCACTGTTCACTTTCACTTCTTCCGACCTCCGGCATGTTGGGTCATGCGAGCACCAAGTGACCTAGTAGTCGATAACAATAGGTAACACGCGCGGATATCTTTTATGTTTTCCTGTTCGAGGTTATGATTTTTCTAAAATAGCAGTCTAGTGGAATCGGCTTCATTGAGCATGTACAAAAGTCCTGAAGGCATTGTCATATGCACCACAAAAATTTGAAATTATGAAAAACAGTATCAATTAATCGTCATTTAATACAAATCTTCCAGGCAATAACAGCAAAGTTGACGAGAGCACAATGTGAGCACCCCAGGAAAAGAATTATTTAAAACAGCAAATTTGCTACTTACGTGCCGCGGAGGCAGAGCGGACGTACTATTACACGTCCTCTGCCAGATCACATGGCACAAGGTCTAAGATAGTGAGACAATCTCCTGGCGATCATGAGGCAGTTCAGAGGAGGACCCCTAATTCTCCTTCCGCCGTTAGAGACCAGTCGGTAGTCGGGAGACGAAGGAGCGACGTTGCGCCACCCCGCATTGCGGCGGCTCCTCCTGTTACCACTACCCTACCCCGTGCTCAGGATCCCTAGGGACGCTGCTCGTTCGAGCCCATCGCCAGAGGATTCGAAACATCGCCGCCTTCATAGACAGGTGGTCGCCAACCGGGGCCGTCCTGCTCTTAACTCGGCCCTTCAGCATCCTACCCTCAACTTCTGGTTGAACCCCGTTCTTCAGAAAGATCCTAACTTCCCTCAAGTCAGATTAAATCTTCGTCTAAGCCCGCACCGCTATCCTTTCAACTGCGAGAAACCACTCAAAATCCCCTGCGCCTGACATGGAAACTTCCTTTTGCACCAAACTAGAACTCTCAATACCTATTAAGATTGTTCAGGAGGATGGACCACTGCCCGATACGTCACCAGGGCTAAGCCGAGCACCGAACACATGTTCCAGTGTCAGACCAACACCCAAACGGCTCGGCTTAACTCGCTCTCCGCGAGCACGCGACGAATCGCCCACGTCGGCCGTAGAGGATAGGAGACAGCAGCGGAGGCCATGCCCAGCCTCGAGGGTCGTGACTTTCAGAGGTGCAGTCCCAGACGACACTTCACAGTTGACGTTTCCGATGTGCCATGAGACACCATTCACAACACGCAAAGCAATAGTACCAGGTGGGCTTGTGACTGCGCAGCACTGAGCTCATGTTATGAACTCAAAATATCTATCCTTCGTACCTGTCGACCCAAGTTCAATGCCATAGCACGAACACAGCCACCTACCCAGTTCAACCGCATCCAGCGATCACCAGAAGCAGCTATTGACGATGTAGCCACTGATTGATGGATATAGCAGTTCTCTCTTCTTGCCTCCGCTCAGAGGCAAAACGAGCATAATCGCATGATATTGCGACCTCGCAGGAGATGTGGCACCTCTCCCACACCCATTCGTCCTAGACAGCCGCTAGGAGATTCTAGCATGCGAGGTTCCGCAGTCTCCTCATCCGAGATGGTTATCGCACAGGCTCAGATCAGCAAAGTCCGTAGTAATCATCCCTTAGCATACGTGGCCCCTTTCATCGAACAGCCACTTCGTCGGATATCATTTGTCAGAGTAGAGATGCATTCAGGGCAGAGATTCAATGAGTTACTAATAGCTACGAAGTAGTACACCATCCAGGGGGATCTGCAGGCGAGGCACTCTTCCAGCCTCTGGACGCGAACCCGGTATCGATTGAGTCGTAATATCTATAAGAAAACCGCAACACGAGTTATCCACAGAGTGAAGTTTCAGTGAAAAAATGACCCCGAGCGAATCATACAGGATCTAACCACGAAAGAAAGCATTAAGAGGGGTTTTTTTAATTTGATTGTGGGATCCGGTTTCTACGGGCGCAACTGCCACAGATTAACTTACACTCCTATGCCATGTGCGCGTTCTATCATGCATTAACACCCTGACTCCAGATGGTCCACTGAGTAAGGATTCCATTTAACTGCCAGGTAAGTTTAGATTCTTCTCATGTAGCGTGGTTACTAGACCTTGATAAGGCGCGTTCTTCCACGAGTTATCATGTTCAGCCATTCAGAGTCGAGTGCTCTCTATTCTTCTGGACCTCAAATCAGCACATCCACGTACATTGTGCCTTAATTTCAACCATCCCGGCTCAAAAGACGTTACGAGTAAGAGTACGAGATACTAGAAGAAGGAAGGAAACACAGATCAGGCGCCTATCTACTAGGAGGCATGACCGAATTAACGTGGCCACACGAAGTTAATGGAGGAGTTGAGTCTTGTGTGCAATGCCAAGATGGGAGCATCTAACTCCAAGGGCGTAGTACTTAGGCCAGATTCGCCACTAGAAAGAGGTAGCTTACCACGCTTGAATCACGAGTGTCTAAGGTGGTACGAGCCCATCTGAAAGTACCATGAGGCCTCATGCCCGACCCACTATGTTAAGTCGACAAAGCTCCTGCAACCTTCCCTCAGTTAGACTTTGATATAGCGTACTATCAGTTTTCCGTATCTACTCTTCATCTCTGATTGCTCATATTCTAGTACGACCTAAACTAATGCAATGCTCGGAGACTTGATATTCATCTTGCCATTTTCGTTATATGAGAGACTTTCTCACGACTATACAAAATATAGACCATACAAATACACGTCTAATAAAAATGTAATGATTGTAACCTCAAAGGGCGAGAATAGGGAGCAGAGGCACTTACTTCCCCCAGAACTTGGCCGATGAAGAGATGACCCAGGATTTAATGCTTCCGTGCGACAAAGCGTTGACCTGTGATCTCTGAATGATTAAATTCTCGATAAAAAATGATCGATTAATTCTATTGGCATGATATGCGAAGGAACTGTCCATCATCAACTTCATCGTCTAGTTACATACTAGCCGAGTATTGTAGTTGGAATGACTCTCTAATGTCAGCTATAGGATAGAATCTCTCTATCCTCAATCTAGGTTGGAGGAATTATCTGCTTGTGGCACTAAATCTTTTTTGCGATGGAGGATAGATTGGAATTAGGTAGCCATTAGAAATTTCTCTCTTAGTTACTATTTAGTTAGTAAATTCCTCATCTCATAGATAGGTATCATCTAATAGTACAGAGGATTAGATAGCCATAGAACTTCCATAACATGCATAGTAACTTACATGTTATTTGCATCTCACCTATCAAGAAGGATAGGATCTTGTTTGTATGACCTGCGGAGTGTGGTCTTCCTTGACACTAATCCAACGAGACCAGTAAGCTATATCTTTTGCTCACTTGTACTTGGAAAATGAGTGATCTTACTAGAACCTGATGACCTCTACGTTTTCTTTTAGACGCATTTGGAACGTGACACGCCACGCCTTACAAAAAGAGATTCCATCAGTGAGTACACAGGAGAAGTAGGGGTATCAAGATGTGCCACACACACTGTGAAGAGTAGCTACAATCCTAGCAGCCGATGCACAGTGTTATTCGAAAGGTAGATTAGAAAATGTATTCGTGCAACACCACATGAAAGTTGAGAAAGTGTCTCAAAGAGCCCACACAAAGTTAATTATCAGGTAAATGTGCTTCCTTACCTAGTAAACCTCTTCTCAAAACTTCACGCACGTATTATCGACTTCCGTTTGTGTGCATCTCATTTTTACGTGGCCTCGCCAGCAGGATTCTGGAAGAGATTATGCTTTGACTCTTTGAAACTTACATTCATTATCACTGTCGTTCATGAGTTACAATGATATATGATGTGGAGAATCTTACATCTCACTTGAGCAGAATATAAAAACGATAGACCTTAAATTCTCTTTCTCTAATTTAAATTCTTTTTTGGATTAGATTTCAATTCAAGAGAGAAAAATACTCATATAAGTGAGATTCATGATTTAGCTAGTAGGAGCTTAATCTGAGTTAGTAAAATTTAAATGAGGTTCCTTTTA